AGAAGATATTAAAGAACTTATATTGAAGGTACTGTAACTACTACTGTACTATACATGGTATGTACTGTACATTATCTTATATTATAAATAGTAATGATGATATTGACCTATGTTTCAAGTGTTCCTAAAATATTCTACCAGCTAGTTCATATTAATCATATACTTACACAAACCAATTCATTTGAGACATATTGGACCAATTACTCGCAACCTTTCGTGTTTGATCATTTCTAGTCCCTTCCTGTCTCTTTATGATTGGTCAATTGCAACAAAACCAAAGAGGATTGGTGCATTCCTACCCGACGTTTATAAATACACTCTTTCCACATACTTGTTCTTCTTGGAGCCTCACTCTCATTAGTGTAAATTATGCAAGGTGATTGGCTCATGATTCATATGAGAGCGAGGCTCCCAGGCCAAATCACGTAATCATTGAAAGGGTGTATTATAGGGGAAGTTATCAAGTTTTCAAGGAACTCACCAAATGACTTGCTAGAATCTTTTAGGACCACTTCCATTGCCATGGATGACTGTAAAGCCATCTACACCACCACATGCATTGCATTGATGAAATTGACATCTTTACTAATATTGCAGCACGAAAATGAGATGAAGCAAGTCAAGACAAAGGTAAAAGAAAGGTTTTTGACAAGTGTGAAATATATAGTACAATATATAATCCAAATGATGAAAAGTGATCGAGATGGAGCCTTGCCCTGGCCTTTCACGAAGCGTTTCACATTTATTCTTGTTGATCAACAAGATGACCTTAGTCAAAGAGAAAACATTGAGGCCGAATTAGTTCCAGAAGGAGAGAAACATTTTAAAAGACCTAGGTATCGCGAAAATGAGGAATGGGGAATAACAGAATTTGTTGAACATTCAACTCTACATACTCGTCAATACATTAGAGACCACACTGTATTCGTCAAGATTGTGGCAGAGCCATGAAAAATATAACCATAATTACACGTATATTTGGTGTGGACGCTTACCTACTGTAGTATAGTACCCTATATTATCCAGACATTCGCGTACTTAGAATAATTTCCTTTCATGATTTAATAACAAAATAACCACTATAGGTAGACATCCACACCAAATTTAATTATGGTATAAATTTGCGCGATTAACTTTCCGAAGATATGCCAGAATTTGCTGAACCTAAAAATTAGCGGTGTCCGTTCGCAAAGAATATATACCTATAGTGATACAAATTAATCGATCTTCTACCTACTAGATACGATGCAATGTACAATTTTAGAGCCCATATAGTTTTCAATCTGTTCTCCACAAATACCAAAAGATTCCAGAGCACTTTTATCCCCTGCTATATAATGTAAAAGGTACCGGTGAGGTCCACATAGACTTACATTCTGTCGTTATATAATCTTACATTTACTTACCTATACTAGTTATTAATAGTCTTACCTTTAGTATACTAGCTTGTAACATATAATTGGTTATTAGAGGTTTTTAACATTTATATAATGCCTATAATGTTTACAATATTTATAATGCTTATAATTGTAATTATAATCGTCATGGTTAGTTGTAAATCACGCAATTCAGCTTCAGTTGACGGCTGTTTTTAAACTATAGTACAATTCAAAATGAATATTTATGATAGGAATAAGTATAGGTTATTTTGAGGCAACGAGGGAATATGCGAGAGGTGCCTCAAAATAACGTACTTATGCGAGGTGCCTCAAAATAACGTACTTATTTTTCACATTGCGAGGTCGCGTTAATGAGTCAGAATAGAAATAATTCTCAATGCCGTATTGCCTTCGTGATGTTGTTTTTTCTCATTTTTTTGTGCTGCAAAGACATTCATTGCAGGTGAATGTTAGAGGGGATTGTTAAACGGAAATTGATAAGAGGGGAATATTGAATATATTCCCCGATAAGAACAAAGCAACCGAGCAGGGTGAAAAAAAAAGAATATAAATTTGAAACAAAAAGATTGACGTTTACGGCAAACGTCAAACCGCTAGCGAGGTTTTTGATTTTACAACTCTATTATAATAGCTTTTACACCAGTTTTGAAATATGTTAAA